ACTTGTTGTTCCTAGAGTATTTAAAAGTAGAATGGGAGGGAGAGCCTTCAGTTTTCAGGCCCCTCTTCTGTGGAACCAGCTTCCAGTTTGGATTCAGCAAAGTGTTTAGAAATGTTGTGTGTGGCTGAGTTTATGCTGCTAACAATGGGTCTGAGTGGAACACCTTCTTTGTGTATCTTAGGAAGTTCGTAAATACAGGGTATGGCATCCCCTGGGTATAGGGGATGATATGTAGGGTGTATTACATCCAGTTCTTTGTATTCTTCAACGGCCAAGACTTAGCACGCCCAGCAACGCCAGCTCAAGTGTCAGGCAAAAAACAGGAAGCCTGATTATTTATATTCTTCCTCTAGACGTCACACACACTTTAAGTTTCGATCAAACACTCAGTTTCACTTTCTGCCTGCAGCTCCTCATATTCTGCAAAAACATGCAGTTTCCTGTCAGCCTAGTCAAGTCTGGGCCTCTCATAAAACAATCTAATCAGCAAATAAGCATTAAGTTTATATATTTAAGTCCCATCAGACCCCCTCTTGACCTTTCCCCCAGAAAGGTCACCATATTTCTATTAGTTAACCTAATTCACTGACTCCCTTAATAACTACTGTGAACTAAAAACAGATATACTCAGCTTTTCTGGTAAAAGGTCCTACATTACTTTTGTCACTCTTTGGAAACAGCCTCTATAGAGTTAAAATTTAAAATTTACTCCTGGTTTTTCACCCCCTCTACGGGAAACATATATCCGGCCTCAACACTATTCTCGGGCAATTTACATCACATAGGAATCCTGCAAACTGTTCCTAAAGTCCCTCTCATTACTCTACATTACTTTCATGCTCACATTTAACCTGTGTCTAACGAGCTTTTAGTCTCCTAAACAACACATTTTCTGGAGCTGTGGTTCTCTGTGCTCTGTTCTTCTTTTCGGGGTCTCCCTTTCTGTGATTGGTTCCCTTCGGTCTCGCGCTTCCTTCATTCTCGCCAACCCTTGTGGTCACTGTTGTCCTGGAATCTCCTGTAAAGGAAACAAAACACCTTTCCCTGCTACGCCTCCCATAACCTATTATGTTCATCAATTGTTCTCTTAATTCTTCAAACTTGGTTCAACCTGTCATGTTCGGGACTGTCTAATCAAAAAGATTAGTCTGATTATGTGTGTAAGCGTGTTAGCATTTATCCATCGGCACTCAAGGTCATCCCTACAATATATCAGTTCAGTCACGCTGAACGACGTTTTTGACCTTCGCTTGACCGAGTGACAACTCGTATGAGCACGATTGCAATGTGTGTGTATAAAAAAATCATTTATACATAAATACTCTTCAATGTTCAACCTTTGCCACCCTCATAAGAAACAGGTGTTTCCTGTTTTTGGCTCACTCCTCTCTTACCTGATCATGAACATCCTGTACAAAAAAATGTTGCTCTGCAAGTTTCCAAGCAAACTGTGTCTTAACTTCCTGTTATCTGTCTCTGCAAGCATTTTGTTTTTACATTGACCTTTTACTACACTCTGTCACCTTTCACTTATTCTACTAAAAAAAATCAAAGACAAAATTAAACAAGCATTTTCAATTAATTAAGTTTAAGCATAAAAGCAGTTACTTACGAGTAAGTTTTATCATAGCTAAATTATCAAACACCCAGAAAGTCAATCTTGCAGGCCTGCTTAGAACAAAAAATGAAAAA